CAACCAGCCACCCCATTAAGGACTGCTTCCCACTGCATTGGCCTAGGTTGAACAGCCTATATCACAAGGAGGGATGGGTGGTTATATAATTCAGCTATGAAGCTTCTGAAGGACTTAGACTGATGTCATTTGCTCCCATGTCTTATACTCTCACGAGCCACATGGCCAGGGGCTCTCTGCTTGCTTGCTTGCTTGTAAGTTTTTCCTAGTGGTCCCAGAAAATTTGATTGGGCCAAGAGGCGCGGGAGTGATGTCCAGTAGTCATGGTGGTTCTAGCAGGTGACAGAGTCAGGGAGAAACAGTGAAGAGCGGCAGAGACATCCAGACCCGGTTCAAGATTGGTTATACTCTCACGAGCCACATGGCCAGGGGCTCTCTGCTTGCTTGCTTGCTTGTAAGTTTTTCCTAGTGGTCCCAGAAAATTTGATTGGGCCAAGAGGCGCGGGAGTGATGTCCAGTAGTCATGGTGGTTCTAGCAGGTGACAGAGTCAGGGAGAAACAGTGAAGAGCGGCAGAGACATCCAGACCCGGTTCAAGATTGGGACCCAGTGCCAGGTCAAGAGGGCATGGCCCAGAGGCCTCCAGGAAAAGGTAGAGCTTTGAGGCCTGGAGTCCTTGCCTTGTGCCCTGGCTCTGAGCACCTGGGGCAGGGGCTGTGGACTCAGCAAGGGCTGGAGGTTGGTGTGGGAAGCATGAGCACCTCAGAAGCAGACAGACAGGACACACAGCCACTGTGGTAGAGGGACTGCCAGACTGAGGCTGAAGGCCACTTCATGGCTCCGGACCTTTTGCCTGCCAGGTCTTGTGGTGCCATTCAACGAAGGCACTTTTCTGAGCCCATGCAGCAGACTGAGAGGGAGGTCTCTGCTCAAGAAGGGAAGAGGAGGAGACTGGGTGTGGCTCGAAGATCATGTGGACACAGAAGACCAGGCTCTGTTATGGATCTATTCTCGTGCCTCTCCCTGTCCTGGGTTTGTTCCTTCTTGTCTCTGAGCTCAGTTTCCCCAAGCACAAAAGAAGGGCTCAGAGCAAATGGTGTCTGGCTCCCTTTCCTTGAAACTTTGTAACATAACAAGGCAAAGACAGGAGCTGTCTAAAAAAGGCTAGAGGAGCAGGAAGCCCCAAGGAGAGGAAGAACCCAGCGTGAGGAAGTCCTCCCAAGCCACTTACACACATGACACTTCCTCCCCTCAGAGCAGCAGCTGCCCCCTGCAGAGGCTCTGTCCTGCTCTGCCCTCTCAAGGGTGCAGTCTGGCTGCCCACTTCGGATGCCACCAGCAGCGTTTTCTGTAAGTGAGGGATGCCGCCCTCCTGGGCCAGCAGGGATTCCCACTGCAGGGCAGGGCTAGGGAAACTATGACTGCATTTGGTTGAGACTTTTGCCAGCCCTGAGTGGGTAGAGGTGGAGGCAGCTCTGTCTCCTCAGATGTCCTCCTTCAACCTCAGCCTAATCCTTGAATCTCCATTTTTATTCCTGGATGTGATACAGGGATCAAAGCTGTGTAGACTCCACGAGGTGAACAGCAGCTTTTTTCCATCCTGTCTTAGTGACTCTTCCATTATGGCTGGAGAGTTGCTGGTAAAACATCAAAATACAAACCCCCATTGTCCAGAGATGGGTGTGGCATTGCCCCCATCCTCAAGACAAGAAACCTAGCTGTGGGTCAAGGCAGGCAGGGGTGGGGACAGGGCGGGCCAGTGTGAATGGGAGGCGGTAGCCTAGAAAATTATTAAATTGTTCCATCCCTGCTGAATCACTGGGGAACTTCTAAATCCGTTTTTGATTGTGTGATGCCAAATGCTCAGAAGCTATCTCTTAGGGCGGTTCCTTCATTCACATGCTGGAAGAGGCAGGTGCCCCTTCCTCAAGAATAAGGAGTCAGGAGCAGATACTTCCTAGACCCCTCACCCCCATCATGCTCAGCCCTGTGCTCGGAAACCCTGGGAGCCCAGTCTCACCCTGATGGGAGGTGTGGGATAATCCAGGGTACTATCACAGTGGAAGAGCAGCAGGGCCGGCTGTGTCAAGGAAGGGCTGTGGCCACAGTGAGCACAAGAATAGGGCAGGGAGGTGTGGGCCTGAGGCCATCCTGGGCAGTGAGGAGTCTGGGCTCTGGGTGGAAAAACTGAACTCTACAGGCCGTGACGAATCCTGCATCTTGGTTCTGAGCCCCCATTGACTCCCCTATTCCTGGAAAGGCGGGCCTTGTCTCACGAGGAGGATGACTGGCATCTCTGGCCATGCATTCCTGAGAGGAGAAGCCTGTCTAGGAAGCTAGAGCGTCATGGCCAACAGGTCCTAGGCAGAAGCCAAGAGACAGCTACAAGCAGGTGTCCCACTGGATATGTTTTCAGACACAGCTGGGAGCCCTGGTCAGTGGGCCAGAATTTTCTGGGTGGAGAAAGGGATCATGAGCAACCGTCCTGTCTCCCCACCCTGCATCAGTGCTCTTGGTTCCAATTCAGGAAAGCTGAATCCATTCTGGAAAACTCATCCAAGCTGTTACGGAGCTGATGGTGACTGGACAGTCAATCATGTATGTGCCCAAGTCCCTTCCTATCCCACACTCTGTCGTGTTGGAGGGCATAAAGCCTCAGCCCTGCATGCTACGGAAGCTTCTAGGTAGTGATAGGTGGACCATACCCAGGGGTGTCTCCTTTCCATACAACCTGAGGACACCACCGCCATATCTGAGGCTCTGGCCACCACTCTCTAGACAGAGACTGACATTCTTTCATGGATTCCTGAAGAAACAAGCATCCCCAAATCATCCTGGGAACAGTCAGCTCTGACTGGCACAGAGACCTCCCTGGGCATGTTAGGAGTGAGGCACATCTGGAAAAGCACTTGCTAGGACAAGACTGTTACTGCCAGTAGTTTCTGAGTGGCCTCAAGCCCTGCTGGGGGAGGAAGCTAGGGCAGAGAGCACCTGCCTTATTTAGCCTGGCCTGAGCCTGTGAGCCTGTTTGTAGGAGGGATAACTGAGCCAGTCAGTCGAGGGGATCAGGACACCCTGGAGGAGAAGCTGAGAGAAGGCAGCACCAACCTGAGTTCACAGGGCTGACTGGACTTCTAGGGGCCTCTGGCCACTCCCTGCTCCTTTGGCTTTTGTTGCTGTGATAAATGCCATGACGAAAAAAAGAAAAAACAAAAGCAAACAAACAAAAAACTAGGGAACAGCTCCCAGGTCATAATCCAAAACTGAGAAAAGTGGGGGCAGGAACTCAAGGTAGGGGGCTTGGGCTCTGGAATCAGGATTAAGTGGTAGAGTGTTCCAGTTCTCACTCTCCTTCCCTTGGCACATCACTGACTGCTAGCTTCAGAGAGGCCCTGTTTTCTCTGGCCAGCTGGTCTGGCTTGTGAGAAAGAAGTAGAGGGGTATAGAGCCTTCCTGAGCCAGACATTCCAGCCAGCAGCCTTCCCACTTTCCCATGCAGGTGGCCAGATCAGGACTGTAGGGATCCCTTGGCATTATGGCAGATGGTGAGGGATGAGGTCTCAATTGGTATTTCGATGGCTTCATTCTGATGGCGCCTCCTGCTGTCAGCATCACCTTTGCCCAAAGAACAAAGGCTCAGTTGGTGGGTCTACAGAGTCTGGGAGCTGATCTAGTAGAAGGGAAGCTCAATGAGGAACAAGGGGCTGGTCTGTGTGGTTCAAGGTTCTCTCTCTAGTACCCAGAACAGTGTTTAGCATGCTTCCTGTCCTAAGGGATATATTAGTAATGCCCCACCCCCCAGTACACACAGCAGCATACCATGTACCTACAGCTGCAGACCTGGTCCTCAAGCACAGTCACAAACTCCTGGGACACACACAGGTCCCCAAAGGCTCAAATTCCTCACCTGGTTCTGTTGCTTGGCCATGCCAGTCTCTGGATATGAGGCCACCTCTCCCTACTGCTTTCCTAGAGTCCTCTTGGCTGGGTCCCTGAGCTAGACAGCATCAGATCTGAGCTTTGCACAACCCTACAGACAGAGCTCTGGATAAAGTCCCCTGGAACTGAGGAGTTCTTGGTGGGGCTGTCACTGACAGAGAATGAGGAAGCCTCCCAGAGTGGAGGACTGAGCCTGCACTACCCAGAAAAAAAGGATGTGGGGGAGGTTCTGGGAGGTGGCCCTGGGGGCAGGCTCCCTCTCTAGAGTCTTTGATTGCCTCTGGCTGCCCAACTGGCTGTCCAGGCAGAGAGGGCCAGGCAACCTCCACATCGTCATCGTGCTCAGGGTCACTCGTTCCTGGACTTACAAATACTTAGGTGTATGGGGGTAAATGTGGCTCCCAGGCAGCCACCTGCTCCCAGCAAACATATCCTGAAATCCCTGAAATTCACCTTGTGTACCTAGGCTACAGCTGGACAGAGGGTGGCTATTGGGAGCCAATGCCATTCTCTGTAGGTTGAACTGGACAGAAGGCACGTGGCCCAGGTGTTCATATGTCCTACCCTGGCACATATAAGACTGAATGAGTTCCTTTCCGCTCACTGGCCCTCAGTTCCTTATTAGGTCTGAGATGGGAAGAAGAGGATCCCAATCAACCTTGCCTGATGGCCAGAGAGGAGCCCCTTCTCTGCTGGGCCTGGCTTGCCTTCCAACACACGAGGCCAGAGTGACCCGCAGCTCCCCAGGGCTGAGGACTTCAGATTAATCACACTATTCAGGGTGCGATGGGGCAGGCAGGTGGATCCTGGTGCCGCCTCCATGGAGGGCAATGTCCATCCCGAGAGTCCAGCCCACTGCTACCCCCAACCCCACCCCCTCTGGAGTGCCTGGCTCTGCCCTCAGGCACCCCTGAGCTTTGCAGGCTGGGCAGGGACACCTGGTTTCTCTGCCCCCCTGAGAAGGGCCAGCTTGGAAGAATTTCCCAAAGCCTATTAGAGCAAGGGCTGCCTCCTGCCTGCCTCCTCATGCTGGGCAGGGCTGAGGGTTGATGGCAGGCGGAGGGAGCAAGGGAGGGCGGAAGGGGGAGAGGAGGAAAGAAAAAGTTGGCAGGAGGACAGCACAGCCCTGTCTGCATCCATCGCTGAGAGGAGGCCTGTGTGGTGTGGGGCGGGCCTGAAGCAAGGAGAGGCCTTCCTCCCTTTGTGCTCCCCCCGCCCCCCCCCAGCCCTATAAATAGGCCCAGCCCCGGCTGTGGCTCAGTCCTTGGAGGGAGTTGAGCACCAGACAGCTAGCAGTCAAGTTGAGCCCCCTGTCAGCATGGCCAGTGAGTTCAAGAAGAAACTCTTCTGGAGGGCTGTGGTGGCCGAGTTCCTGGCCATGACCCTCTTCGTCTTCATCAGCATCGGCTCTGCCCTGGGCTTCAGTTACCCACTGGAGAGAAACCAGACGCTGGTCCAGGACAATGTGAAGGTGTCACTGGCCTTTGGGCTGAGTATTGCCACACTGGCCCAAAGTGTGGGTCACATCAGCGGTGCCCACCTCAACCCAGCTGTCACGCTGGGGCTACTGCTTAGCTGCCAGATCAGTATTCTCCGGGCCATCATGTACATCATTGCCCAGTGCGTGGGGGCCATCGTCGGCACTGCCATCCTTTCTGGAATCACCTCTTCCCTGCCTGAGAACTCACTGGGCCGCAATGACGTGAGTGGGGTATCTCAGGTTTGGGGGGCTGCAGGAGTGACAGAGCAGGCACCCATCCTGTCTGCCCAGTGTCAGATGGGGACACAGGAATAGAGAGGTGAGGGGTTGAGAGCTGGGGCTGGAGCTCAGCTATAGCCCAGGCTGTTTTCTGCCAGGTGCTATGGGCAGGGAGAGTCAGATAATAGTAGTTGTGACAAAGTCCCCTGCAGAGAAATAGCTCAGGGCTGCTAGCTTTGGGCCAGCAGTTCTTCATGCCTCTACTGAAGTTTCTTGGCCCTTGGCTGCCCTTTACCTGGGCAGCCGGTGCCCTCCTCTGCAGCCCTGTACCCTGAGCAAACTCTACCTGCTGTCCCTAGTCATACTGCCCCAGACACTCAGCATGTTTGCAGCCCCTTGTGCAAGTTTCTGAGCACAACTCCCTTGCGGAGTTGTCTGGGCCTCTAGGCAGGCCCAATACTCACCCAGGTTCTCAGATTAACTTCCCCAGGGAGTTGGGAAAGAGCCCCTTTCACTCCTCTGCCCTTGAGAGTCAGACAAAGACGAGGGAGTGAAACTCTCTGGAGTTGTCGGAAGAGTTTTCTTGGCTAACAATTAGGTAGACAGGATCAGTGCTACAGCCCCTGGCCATACCACCACGATATGGCATGTGTGTTTGTTGTTTGTGGAGGTGGAGGTACACACGTGTCTGTTGGCTTGGGTCCCTGAGCTTGTGTCAGCTATTCACGGTTGGCGCTGCAGTTTGAGGGTGTGAGGCCCAGTGGTAACCTCATCTGTCCATTGTTCCTGGCTTGAATGACCAGTGTATGTTGGCAACTGTGTAGCAACTGCTCAAAGTAATTGCTCCCAGGTCCTGTCAAGTGGCCTTTGGTGGGAGCTGCCTGGTCACAGACCATTTCCAGCTCTGTAGCCAAACGCAACACTGGGTGTACTTGGGTCTAATGGAAGCCAGTTAGCGTGAGAGTCTGAGTAAGGTTTGAAGACGTCATAGTGGGGAATAGGGACTCCCTCACCAGAGGCAAAGGCTAAGAACAGAGAGTAGGAACCAGACCTAGAGAAATGAGGCTAACTGGGTGCCAGCAGGGCAAGTGCATGGGCTCAGAAGCAAGGAGTGGGCCAGTGATCCTCCGAGATGGCTATGGGTGAGTATAGCCCTATCGTTTTTTCAGCCAAAGTTCAGCCTGGAGATGCAGGCAGGGAGGCAAGGTGAAAGTCTGGTGCAGAGGGCAGCTGGCATGGTCCTGCTTCAGGGATGAACACTACTTGTGTCACAGCGACACTTCAAGAGCCCTCTTTCGAATCAACCTCTGCTCAGATGAAGATTGAAGATTAGCTCTGTGGCTGGAGTTTAGACTTTAGCTGACGAAGACTTGGCTACCACAGGTATAAGCAGCAGCACTAGACAGGCTCTCTGTCCTTCTAGACCTCATCTCCAGTGGGAGCCTGGTGGCCTTGGTGAATTCCTGTGGGAAGGCTCATGTTCCCTCTTGGGTGTGGTTCAGTAGGATGGCAGTGGAGAAGGCTCCCTGTGGGGAAGAGGTTGAAACGCTCATGTCTCGTCCCTTCCAACTTAAGGGACATGCAAGACCTATGCCCCGGCTGGTAAAGACATTGCACTCTCCTGTGCGGCATCCAAGGCAGAGACAGGGTGTGAATTACTTCTGTGACACCTGAGTCTAGCCATCTCCATTCTGACTTCCATTTTCTAGAGTTGCCCCAAAACCTGTTTTAGGCAGGTTGTAGCTGGAGGAGAAAGAGGGTCAAGCTAGTGTAGAAACAGCCTTGGGGAATGGAGGCAGGAACCCTAAGGCTCAAGTCCTGTTTGCTATTAACTGTTGTCTCCTTGGAGCCGAGCATCCTGAAGCTCAAGAGGGGACCTAGCTTCTAGTGACATTTCTGCTACCCATATCTTACCAGCTCACATTGTTGGTTTGAGCTAATTACTTGCCTCAAGAGGGCTTGGCTAACAGGAGCCCAGGGGCACTGCTATATGGAGGTGACTAAGCATCATGGTGGGGTCTCTACTTCCACATCCAAACAGTTGACCTTTGGAATGTTGGACATAAGTCTGTCCTCAACCAAAGGGTTCCCCTGAGATTCTAGCCCTGGAATCTGGAGGACCTCAGTGCCTCAGAGGGTAGACCAGTCAATGTAACAGTGGCAGCCTCTTTCTCCACAGTGCTGTGGAAGGCTTTCATAGCTCCTCGGCTGCTAGCCCCACCCTGGCCAAAACCTGGGTGGGGTGAGTTGTTGGCATGGAGATTTCCAAAGAAAATAGGGGGAAAAAGTGGCAGGAAGTGGTTGGGTGAGTCAGGGGGGGTCCCCCAGGGACATGGTAGGGACAACTTTCTCCTGAGTCAGGGCTCAGGATATGCCTTAGAGAGACCATGGGCCTCCCTCTAGTCCATTGGTCCCTGCTAGGTTGAAGAGCCAGATCCTAATTTTTACTCTGGGCTTGAGGCTCTGAGGCTAAGATAAGAACCGAGGCCTGTCCCTGCCCAGTGTCAGCCATCAGTACCCTGTGTTACTCCACACAACTGACTGGGCTTAGATGGCCAATTCCCTCTATGAACAGGACACAGTAGGGTGTGGCTAACTTCAAAAAGTAGAGGATGCTGGGGCCTTGGAGTCCTGGCATTCTGGCTGTTTTCATTTTTTTTTTTTTCCTTCTCTGGCCAGCATCCTGTAGACACAACTGGGGCTGTTGGGTGCTGAGGGCAGGGTTGGGTCAGCCAGGCTCCCTGCTCTGGGCAGCTCATAGGCCTGGAGCAGATAAGCTGCACAGCTGCCTGCGATACCAGGCAGGAGGCAGGTGAGATAAGAGATGTCAGGGCGGGCCTGGGAACTTCTGAACTGGAAGGGTGGGAGGACAAGGAGAGCTTCGGGGAGGTGGTGCTACAAGAACTCAAACGTGAAATGGAAAGGGGTTTCGAGGCAGAGCTCAGGCTCAGGGCCAGGGAGGCCATGGCCTGGGATGGTCACTGAGTTTGGACAGACTGAGGGCATGACGGGAGGCTGGAACTCTGAGGGTGGTGGGATCTCAGGACTTAGACTAGGGTCTGAATGCATTTGGAGGGGGCTGTGTTGCTAGAGCCTCCAAGTCCAGTCATCTGGGGGCTCAGCCCTGATTCAGAGTCTGGGTGCTTGGGAAATACTTCCACCTGCTACACCAGTGGCCTAATGACCCTGAATGCTCCCTTTTCTCCAGTTTCCTAGGTGTTAGTTTCCTTAGCCATGAAGGGAGAGGTTCTTCCTTACCCATAGGCTTCCTGGGGTTGAGGCTCCTGCTGCCTCCTCCAAAGCTTACGAATGTACCAGGGAGAGGAGTCAGAGATTCTGCCGGGTGTGGTGGCGCAGGGAGAGGAGTCAGAGATTCTGATGCCCCTGCACAGCCCAACATGGTCAGGGACAGGCATAGCTTGGACCTGTAATTACTATTTCCAGCCAGAACCAAAGAAGAGGAGGGAGAGCATGCAGAGGAGGAGCTTTGTGGCAGGAACTTTTCTCCCTGCAAAAATTCCGAGGCTCATCCTCTGAGCAGCCCAGCTTTCAGGGTCCACCTGGAGGCTCCTATTGAAGGAGAATGCTCAGAGAGGACACATGCAGAGGTGGCACCAGAGAGAAGCTGCCCCATCTCCCCACAGCTCAAGTGGCAAGCCCATTCTATGCAGTCCTCCACAGCCTGATTTTCTTTAGGGCCCCATCAGTGGTGTCCTCAGCTGTAACCCACCAGGCCTCTCCAGCCAGGTTACAATGCCCCCTGCAAGGGTGTCTGGGGAGCTATCCTGGCAAAGGTGCCAAAGGAACCTTGAGTCCTAGCTGGCAGCAGCTCCTTGGGACTCTAGTCACTATTCTTTAGGAGCACCCAAGTCTTGGAGCTTCTGAGCAGTTGGGACTAGAGCCTCCCTACTGCAGATATGAGCAGGAAAATGTTGTCCCTGAAGGTCCAAGGTGGCTGGGTCTCCTCTGTCTGGGTTTCTCCCTGGGGACCAGAAGGATTCTTGCTTGCAGTGGAATGGTACACAGGCACAAGTAAGCAATGGGCTATCCTCTTTTATTCAGTACTGTTCCTGAGCACCCTCGAAGCTGAGGCTGAAGCCCATAAACCAGAGATGGTGGGCAGGCCATGAGCAGCCCTTACTGGTGCCTCAAACCCAGACAGGGCCTCTTCAGAACAGCTTTCAGCTCAGTATAAAGAAGAATTCTTTTTTTAAAAAACTTGGGAAGCAGCTTCCTCTAAATGAATACCCTCCTGTGCCTAGGGGCATGCAAGTTGGACCCATCTGACTAGGGAGTTTCTCTGGGGGTGCCCAGCCCTGCAGGGGCACAGTGAGCAAGAAGTTTTGTGACATGTGCTTTTTTCCAGGCTGAGAATGGAAGTTCAGAGGACATTATGGGGACTTGGAATCAGGTCTCTGAGTGCTGGCCTGGAGGGTGCTCATCTGATGTAGTAAGGAGGAATCTGAGGACTGCCTGGGGCTAGAGTCTGGGCCAGTGTCTCCATTTTACTGTTGGGGACACTGAGACTCAACCAAGGCATGGACTTTGTCAAGGCCGCACAGTGGGTAATGTCAGGGTAGGACCTGCTCCAAGCCTCCTGCCTCCCAGATTGCTAAAGTGCACACACACTGCATTCACATACTCTTGTACATAAGTGATACGGGGCACCAAATGTGCTGTCAACTTTGCTTGGACCTGGGAGCTCAGAAGAGGGGGGGCCCTCACAGGACCTCTTCCTCTCCCTGCCCTGAAGTAAGAAAAAGGAGGGAAGGAAGGCAGGCAGAAGCCATTGCTTTGTGTATTGTTTCTTGTCAGAAGGATGAATTGTGGGAACAAATAAAGGGCCTTGAGACCCTTTTGTCATGCCCCTCTCCTATCAGCTAGTAGGGGCTCCACCTGTGTGGGTGTGAAGCACAGGGGCAAGGTGATGTACTCAGAAATGCCATCAGACACACCTGTGCAAACACACAGCACAGCCCTTTGGGACCAAGAGACCCCTGTTGTGCAGAGCACTGGCAAGAAATGGTGTCCAGCAAGTATCAGACTGGCTCAGTACTTGACCACACCTCAACAGTTTGTCTAAATTTCTCTTGGGAGCTTAGAAGAGTGAACAGCCTCTAATCCTGAGGTGTTTTTTCCCCTTAAATCAAGCTTTGTTAGTTTCATGGTTTAATACTTGTCTGATTATGTGATTAGCATTTTTTGACTACCTCATTCTATCAGTTTCTAAGGGAGGATTGTTAAAGTTTTTTACTTTGAGAATAGGTTGATCCAATTCTCATAATTCTGTCAATTTTTCAGTGATTTATTTTTAGTTTGAATTGTTTTTACTGCCTACAGATAGAGGATTTTTATAGTTCTTAGATCATTCATTTAATTACTCTGTAATAAACCTGTTAAGGTCTACCAAAAAAAGAGAGAGAACCACCCTCAGACACACGGCCACCCACAGACACAGCCAATAGTGGTCCACAAATCCATACAGATACACACTGAGCCATGGGCACATGTAAGTGCTGACTGAGAGGTGACAGAGTGGGGCCCACGGCTCCCTCCAGGGCCAGTGCTGAGTTCTGGAGGCAATGGGGTGGGCAGACCTCCACTTCCCCTATGCTGTTCCTAGAGAGCTCAGCCTTAGCCAGGCCTGGCTTAGGAGTATGCTGTTCCCCAAGGGTGGGGCATAGGCAGTGCAGTGGGGGCCCTGGGCCTTTGGAGCTGTCCTGGTGACCTGCCTTCAAGTGGCAGGGAGGGGTCAGACAGCATGGTAAGAGAAGTCAGTCCTGGGCTGAGACATCCTGGCAGTTCCAGAGCCACCTTCTGCCAGTGACCCATTTCAAGCCGGGAACAGTCAGCTGCCTTGGCAGCCAGCACACTAGGCTATGAGCATGGCTCAAACAAACCATGGGTGAGGATCCTGACTTCTCTGCCTCCTCCCTGGGTCTTGGTGTCATCCGTCCTCTCACTTGTGAGACTCAAAGGCCTCCAGGGTGAACATTAAAGGCATAAGAGCTTTGCTGGAGTCAGCTGCCTCTGTAGAAGCTGGGAGTTCTGGGAAATCAGCACTTTTCAACCCCTTCTGTACTGTAGAGGGAACTTCCCCTCAGAGGTTTGCAGAATGCTGGTGGGGCTTCCAGACACTCAGTCAGGTGGCAAGTGGATCCCTCTCCTCTGTAATGCTCAGATGCACAGAAGACAATTCCCCCAAGGGAGTGGCACATGGGCCAGCAGTCAGCTCCTGCAAGGGACTCCAGAAAGTTTATGGATCTGGTAGGTCTGAATGGTGCCTTGTGCTGTAAACTCACTTGGGTCCAGCGATCAGGGAGAATGCATTGAGCTTTCTGATGCTTTGGAAGAACCATATGGCCTGTGCTGTCCTTCATATTTGCAGTCACAAACCCTGTGCTATTTCTACCTTAATCAGTGAAAAGTAAGCCCTCGGGCAGGCAAAACTATGTACAAATGTGTACATTGATCATTTCTAATAATTGTGTACAGCTGGGATTGGTCCTTTTAAAGCAATTGTTTGAAAATTAATGGGCTGTATACAGTCACTAAGTGTTGGGTTCTCTAACCCGCTCTTTCTTGGACGTGAAGTTTCAGTAGATCTTTATCCATTCCAACTCTAAATTACTGTTTTCCCAGATGTAAGTAACATAAGTACATTAGGCACTGGGAGAATGGTCATCAGTAGATGCTGAGGGAAGCAGGGGGAGCTGACTGCTGCTGGGGATGGTTGTGGTAGAAGTGGGTATTGGAAGGGGGAAGGCAGCCCTGTAGCTTTCGAAGTCAGGAGCAGGTGCCTTCTGGAATTCCGAGGCCAGGTGGCTATCTCTTTCCCTTCCTGAGTACTCAGAACTCTGGGCCTGGAGCCAGGGCTTGCTCTGCTTCCTCTGCATGGAAAACGGTTCCTTGGTGGGGCCTAGGAGTCAAACAGGGTTAAGAACCGGAGGAGATAAGCTGGCTCTGGCAGAAGGGCAGGGTGGATCTCTGAGCAGGAGCCGCATGCAAGGATGGCTCCATGAACTGGCAAGGAAGTACTAGCTTCAGGATTCCTGCCAGCTAGCAATCAGCAGGGCCCTGGAGAGTAGAGGAGAGGGAGAGAAGCCAGGGGCTTCACCCAGGGGCTTCCTGGGAGTGAGTGTGGATACCTGGCACAGCCCTTTCTAACCTGCCCTCCACCACCCTTTCTAAATGCCTGAGACAATCCTTTGAATCTCTTAGAGGCTCTGGACAGAGAGCTGAGACTTTAGACTCATTTTATAGACTGAGAAACTGAGATGCAGAGAGAGCTATGTTCATGATGCCAGCAAGTAGAAGGGTCAAGACTTGAACACACACAGGGCTTCTGCCTCCATTGCCTGACCTTGGGGTGGGATGAGAGCTTGGCATTGCCCAGAGGGCTGTCTGGGCAAAAGGGACACAGCTCTGGGGTCAGCCAGGAAAGACCCCAAACTGAGGCTGCAAGGGAGAGGGGATATGAGTCATTGCCCCAAAGCCAGGAATATAGACAAAGGCGGGAAGGGAATTGTTTTGTAAGATAGCCTCACAGCTGAGCTGGGAACCCCCTGGAGGAGTAGAGGTATGCCACCCTCCCAGGATCCTCAGATTGCCCAGTGGCTTTGGAGGTGCCCCCAGATTGAGAATTTGGAAATGAGAACTCAGGGCCAGCTTGCTGGGACTCAGGTACCCTCCCGAGAGGCAGGCCAAGTGGAATACCCCAGCACCTTCACTGACACGGCCCAGCTCCCCTGTGGGGTACACCTTGCCCAGGCCCCCCATCTGGATCAGGGTTTAGGGATGCCCTGGGAGGGGTCTTCTCAGGTAGCTATAGGGATGGGGTGGCTCCAGTGACTTCATGACAGCTCTCAATCCCTTCTTTTTCAGTGAGTCGTGTTTCCAAAAGTGGCCCAGGACAGGGGCAGCCAGACTATAGTGGTAGGGCTCATGTGCCCAAAGAGAATATGGGGGCAGGGCTGGGGCCAGGGCGAGGCAGGGGTGGAGAGAGAGAGAGAGAGAGAGAGAGAGAGAGAGAGAGAG